CCTTGTAAATTAAATTAAAATATAGTGGTTGGTGGGGGTCTACTTGGGGAGAGTCTGAAGTGAGATGAGTGGAGGCCCCACACACACTTCAGAAAACTGTCTGATGTCACCTCATCCCAATCCCTCGGACAGAGCCCCTCTCACCAATAGCCAACATTGAATCTTACCTATAATGACAAACAAGGAATAATAATAATAACTCGACATCCTCTCCTAATCTGTCCAAAACCCATTCATTTTACAGCAGATTTGCAAGACACTAAAATCAATTACATTGTTGTATAGTTAAATCCATCCTTCTCTCTCTCCCAAGCCAAACCCATCCCTATCCACCTCCCCCTCCCTGTTTTCTCCCCCCTTTACCCCCACCCAAACCATGCTTGTCCCAACCTCCCATCCTTGCCCACCTAAGTCAAGCTTGTCCCGACCGCCCATCTTTTTCTACCCTTCCTACCCTTCAGACACTCTTACACCCATCCAGCCATCAACTTACTCATCCATTGTCATTCATTCCCGCCAAACATACAGTCGTGGTCAAAAGTTTTGAGAATGACAAGTATTGGTCTTCACAAAGTTCGCTGCGTCAGTGTTATGAGATTTTTGTCAGATGTTACTATGGTATACTGAAGTATAATTACAAGCATTCCATAAGTGTCAAAGGCTTTTATTGACAATTACATTACGTTTATGCAAAGAGTCAATATTTGCAGTGTTTACCCTTCTTTTTCAAGACCTCTGCAATCCGCCCTGGCATGCTGTCAATTAACTTCTGGGCTACATCCTGACTGATGGCAGCCCATTGTTGCATAATCAATGCTTGGAGTTTGTCAGAATTTGTGGGGTTTTGTTTGTCCACCCGCCTCTTGAGGATCCACAACAAGTTCTCAATGGGGTTAAGGTCTGGGGAGTTTTCTGGCCATGGATCCAAAATGTCGATGTTTTGTTCCCCGAGCCACTTAGTTATCACTTTTGCCTAATGGCATGGTGGTCCATCATGCTGGAAAAGGCATTGGTCGTCACCAAACTGTTCTTGGATGGTTGGGAGAAGTTGCTCTCGGAGGATGTGTTGGTACCATTCTTTATTCATGGCTGTGTTTTTAGGCAAAATTGTGAGTGAGCCCACTCCCTTGGCTGAGAAGCAACCCCACACATGAATGTTCTCAGGATGCTTTACTGTTGGCATGACACAGGACTGATGGTAGCGCTCACCTTGTCTTCTCCGGACAAGGTGTTTTCCGGATGCCCCAAACAATCGGAAAGGAGATTCAGAGAAAATGACTTTACCCCAGTCCTCAGCAGTCCAATCCCTGTACCTTTTGCATATCAGTCTGTCCCTGATGTTTTTCCTGGAGAAAAGTGGCTTCTTTGCTGCCCTTCTTGACACCAGGCCATCCTCCAAAAGTCTTCGCCTCACTGTGCGTGCAGATGCACTCGCACCTGCCTGCTGCCATTCCTGAGCAAGCTCTGCACTGGTGGTGCCCCGATCCCGCAGCTGAATCAACCTTAGGAGACGGTCCTGGCGCTTGCTGGACTTTCTTGGGCGCCATGACGCCTTCTTCACAACAATTGAACCTCTCTCCTTGAAGTTTTTGATGATCCGATAAATGGTTGATTTAGGTGCAATCTTACTAGCAGCAATATCCTTGCCTGTGAAGCCCTTTTTGTGCAAAGCAATGACGACGGCACGTGTTTCCTTGCAGGTAACCATGGTTAACAGAGGAAGAACAATGATTTCAAGCACCACCCTCCATTTAAAGCTTCCAGTCTGTTATTCTAACTCAATCAGCATGACAGAGTGATCTCCAGCCCTGTCCTCGTCAACACTCTCACATGTGTTAACGAGAGAATCACTGACATGACAGCTGGTCCTTTTGTGGCAGGGCTGAAATGCAGTGGAAATGTTTTTTGGGGATTAAGTTCATTTTCATGGCAAAGAGGGACTTTGCAATTAATTGCAATTCATCTGATCACTCTTCATGACATTCTGGAGTATATGAAAATTGCCATCATCAAAACTGTGAAAATTTGTATTTGTGTAATTCTCAAAACTTTTGACCACGACTGTACCACTACCAGTCAGAAGTTTGAAACACCTAATCATTCAAGGGTTTATCTTTATTTTTACTATTTTTTACATTTGTAGAATAATAGTGAAGACATCAAAACTATGAAATAACACATATGGAATCATGTAGTAACCAAAAAAGTGTTAAACAAATCAAAATATATTTTATATTTGAGATTCTTCAAATTGCCACTCTTTGCCTTAATGACAGCTTTGCACACTCTTGGCATTCTCTCAACCAGATTCACGAGGTAGTCACCTGGAATGCATTTCAATTAACATGTGTGCCTTCTTAAAAGTTAATTTGTGGAATTTCTTAATGCGTTTGAGACAATCAGTTGTGTTGTGACAAGGTAGGGGGGGTATACAGAAAATAGCCCTATTTGGTAAAATACTAAGTCCATATTATGGCAAGAAAAGCTCAAATAAGCAAAGGGAAACGACAGTCCATTACTTTAAGACATGAAGGTCACTCAATATGAAACATTTCAAGAACTGTGAAAGTTTCTTCAAGTGCAGTCACACAAACCATCAAGCGCTATGATGAAACTGACTCTCATGAGGTCCGCCACAGGAATGGAAGACCCAGAGTTACCTCTGCTGCAGAGGATAAATTCATTAGTTACCAGCCTCAGAAATTGCAGCCCAAGTAAATGCTTCACAGAGTTCAAGTAACAGACACATCTCAACATCAACTGTTCAGAGGAGACTGTGTGAATCAATTGCTGCAAAGATACCACTACTAAAGGACACCAATAAGAAGAAGAGACCTGCTTGGGCCAAGAAACACGAGCAATGGACATTAGACCAGTGGAAATGTGTCCTTTGGTCTGGAGTCCAAATTTGAGATTTTTGGTTCAACCGCCGTGTCTTTGTGAGACGCGGTGTGGGTGACCGGATTATCTCCGCATGTGTAGTTCCCACTGTAAAGCATGGAGGAGGAGGTGTTATGGTGTGGGGGTGCTTTGCTGGTGACACTGTCTGTGATTTATTTAGAATTGAAGGCACACTTAACCAGCATGGCTACCACAGCATTCTGCAGCGATACGCCATCCCATCTGGTTTGGGCTTAGTGGGACTATCATTTGTTTTTCAACAAGACAATGACCCAACACACCTCCAGGCTGTGTAAGGGCTATTTTACCAAGAAGGAGAGTGATGGAGTGCTGCATCAGATGACCTGGCCTCGACAATCCCCTGACCTCAACCCAATTGAGATGGTTTGGGATAAGTTGGCAGAGTGAAGGAAAAGCAGCCAACAAGTGCTCAGCATATGTGGGAACTCCTTCAAGACTGTTGGAAAAGCATTCCAGGTGAAGCTGGTTGAGAGAATGCCAAGAGTGTGCAAAGCTGTCATTAAGGCAAAGGGTGGCTATAAAATATATTTTGATTTGTTTAACACGTTTTTGGTTACTACATGATTCCATATGTGTTATTTCATAGTTTTGATGTCTTCACTATTATTCTACAATGTAGAAAATAGTAAAAATAAAGAGAAACCCTTGAATGAGTAGGTGTGTCCAAACTTTTGACTGGTACTGTATACCCTATGCATCCACACCCATTCTCTCCCACCCTCCTACACATATTCACCATCCCTCACTCTTCCCTCACACTCCCATTCATATACACAAACACACACGTACACACCTACACTCCCACACAAACGCACACACACATCCATCTAACAGTTGACATATACTACCGTTCAAAAGTTTGGGGTCACTTAGAAATGTCCTTTATTTCGAAAGAAAAGCAATTTTTTTGTTAATTGAAGTTACACTATTTCTGATCAATTTGATGTTGACATTTGTTAATGTTGTAAATGGCTATTGTAGCTAGAAATTGCTTATTTTTAATGGAATATCTACATAGGCGTACAGAGGCCCATTATCAGCAACCATCAGTCCTGTGTTCCAATGGCACGTTGTGTTTGCTAATCCAAGTTTATCGTTTTAAAAGGCTAATTGATCATTAGAAAACCCTTTTGCAATTATGTTAGCACAGCTGAAAACTGTTGTGCTGATTTAAAGAAGCAATAAAACTGGCCTTCTTCAGACTAGTTGAGTATCTGGAGCATCAGCAATTGTGGGTTCGATTACAGGCTCAAAATGGCCAGAACCAAATAACTTTCTTCTGAAACTCGTCAGTCTATTCTTGTTCTGAGAAATGAAGGCTATTCCATGCGAGAAATTGCCAAGAAACTGAAGATCTCGTACAACGCTGTGTACTACTCCCTTCACAGAACAGCACAAACTGGCTCTAACCAGAATAGAAACAGGAGTGGGAGGCCCTGGTGCACAACTGAGCAAGAGGACAAATACATTAGTGTCTAGTTAGAGAAACAGACGCCTCACAGGCCCTCAACTGGCAGCTTCATTAAATAGTACCTGCAAAACACTAGTCTCAACGTCAACCGTGAAGAGGCGTTGAGGACCTGTGAGACGTCTGTTTCTCAAACTACGAGAGTGAAGTACGAGTAAAGTAGGAGGCCCAGGTTTCAATAGGTGATAAGATGGCAAAGCAGTTTTATGCGCTGACTGAATGGAAGCTGATAATTACTGTGAGTATTTTACTCCGCTGATCTCGGGAAGAAATTACTGTCCGAGACAGAGTCAAGACAGAGTAAAAATGTATCCGACACTGAGACAAGACCAAGACACTCGAGTACTACATCACTGGCGTGAGGTAATAGAGTAGGGCGAGTGCAGCTCAAATGTAATGTTTTATGCGTTCTCCACACTCTCTCATCCTCACAAGAATGTACTCAAGAGAAGGTCCTCTAAGAATGCACTCCAAGCATGAGTGTGGAGCACGGTAGTATGCATACTGAGAAACACCCCCATTTTGAGATGCCTATACATACTGTACATGCACAGGCAAGACGACAACGAGCTAGTGGTAGCACTTCATGTGGTGTGTGTTTTTGCTCCAGTTCAGGAAACAGAAGTACGCCCTGGAGGCTAACCGCTATCCTCTGAACTGCCAGCAGCTCTTCCGCACGCCCAAAGAGATGTACTACATCCCTCTGAAGGTGGCCATGTTGTAAGTACCTGAGAAGGCACAGATCTAGGATCAGCTTACTTTTCCCCAGTCCTGACCAAGTCCATTAGAGGGGTAAACACAAAACTGACTCTAGATCAACATCCAGGGTGAACTTCACCCTACTCCACCTGGCTCAACCTGGTCAGCTCAAAGAACAGCAGTGTCAACATTTAGAGATGCACAGCAACACAATCACTCCTTGAAACCTATGGGTGTCCGCCAGTTTTGGTAAACAAAGCATTTACAACCTAATGATGACCTTTTTTTGTTTTCGCTCTCTCTCCCTGCAGTTACTTGTTGAACCCTTTCACGATCCTCTCCTGTGTGGCAAAGTCAACCTGTGGGCTTAACAATGCAGTCATTGCACTCTTCATTCTCTGTACAATAAAAGGTATGTGTACAGCAACAAATGGTGTCACCCAAACCATGTATTTATTTGTCGTGTCAATAACTACATTTTTCTCTGATATTGAAGGAAGTGCCTTGATGAGTGCAATATTCTTGGCCTTGGCGACATACCAGTCAATCTACCCGCTCACACTATTTGCCCCAGCACTGCTCTACCTACTACAGGTACGTTCGTATGACTCAGCTGAAAGACTGTTGGCCTCACTTTTCACAAGTTTCCGTCAGTGATATGTCTTTATAGTCCAAAATGGCTTCCTCCCCTTGTTGCCTTACCTTCAAATGCACAGACATGAAAACTGGGCAGGTGAAAGCTAAGTCCTAGGCCCGGTTTCCCAAAAGTATCTTAAGGCTAAGTTCATCGTTAGAACCTTTTGTAGCAGCATTGTTAAATCTCTGAACTGTTTCCCAAAAACATCGTTATTAAAGTCGGATGAACTCGTGGATACCATTTTTATGTCTCTGCGTACGGTATGAAGTAAGTTGGTAATGGCGCTAGTGCAATTGCTACCTAGTGTTAGCACAATGACTGGGAGTCTATGGGTATCTGCTAGCATACTAGCAGATACCTATAGACTTCCAGCCATTGTGCTAACGCTAGTTAGCATTGGCTCGCAAAACTACCTCTAACTTCCTTCATACTAGGCACAGAGACATACAAATTGTATCCACAAGTTCATCTGACTCTGGGGAAGTATCCATTTAACGTTGCACTTGAAAATGCTTGTAATCAAATGCCTGCCTCAGACCAATCGTAGAACAGCTAAGTGCAACATTAGATGCTTTTTTTGCCTTCCCGTGTCACTTTATATACAAGATCTCTGCTAAACATAGAAATCAGTGTTTTTCATTCTCTGTGACCGCCGATAACTTCACATAGAAGTTGACTACAAATACAAAGTTGCCAATATCTTTGCAATTTTTACAAACAAGTGAAGGATAAAAGATGTCACAAATGAAATCAGAGATGACTACCTACAGTATAGGCTATAGGCCTATATATTCCAATGATATTGAAATCAATTTCATGTTCATTCAATTGAGTTTTATTTGGCTACTGTCTAATTTTTGCTTCAATATACTTAGCCTTCCACCATATGGGTGTAGCCTAACATGTGCGCAATGATGTGCCAAATCTTGATTTAGTGCATTATTATAGGGTAAGCATTAGAATAACCCGTCTCAATATTTGCAGCCATAGGTGATAATATCTCTCTAGGAGCTGATCCGTCGTCAGTATTGTTGAAGCCGGCCTCACAGTGCTTGAGGCGTCACTACAGACCCGGGTTCGATCCCGGGTTGTGTTGCAGCCGGCCGTGACCGGGACACCCATTAGGCGGCGCACAATTGGCCCAGCGTCGTCCGGGTTAGTGGAGGGTTTGGCCGGCCGGGATGTCCTTGTCCCATCGCACTCTAGCGACTCCTGTGGCAGGCTGGGTGCATGCACGCTGACATGGTCGCCAGTTGTACAGTGTTTCCTATGGGTTAAGTGAGCAGTGTGTCAAGAAGCAGTGCAGCTTGGCAGGGTCGTGTTTCGGAGGACGCATTGGTCTCGACCTTCCCCTCTCCCGAGTCCATTCAGGAGTTGCAGCAATGGGACAAGACTGTAACTACCAATTTGGATATCACGAAACTGGGGAGAAAAAGGGAGAAAACATAATTTAAAAAACACTTAAGTTCCATCGCTATCGGGAAACCGGGCCCTGGTTGGTAGGCGTCCACCATATGGGTTCTAGCCAATGCTTTCAGTTCAATGCAGTTGAAGAAGTCAGAGTCGAGAGGAGGCCATTTTGGACTATTGAGATGCACCCCTGGTGAACATATAAAAAAATCGTCCTTGCCTTCTCTACTTCATTGCCCTGATCTGTAAGAACTGACCAGGTGAAAGGCAGCCTAATAATTAACTTTCAAGTTTTTTTTCTCCAAATCAATGCAAATGAAGGAGAAGAGACCAGAACAGCAGTGTATGTATCAAGCATCTCAGAATAGGAGCGCTGATCTAGGATCTTTTGTATCCATGTAACCTTATTCATTGTGATCTAAATGGCAAAACTGATCTTAAATCAGCTCTCTTACTCTGAGACGCTTGATATATTCTGCCCCAGATTTAAGCAATTGAGATATGAATTCTCTCCCTGGTGTCCCTCTCTTGCCCACAGAGGTTGTACATCCCAGTGAACTGGCGCAGGCCCAGCTTCTGGCTCTTCACAACGCAGTACGCCTTCATGTACCTGGGCAGCCTGTGTGTCATGGTCTGTCTGTCTTTCTTCCTGCTCAGCTCCTGGGACTTCCTGTCCTCCGTCTACGGATTCATGTGAGTGAAAACATGGACACCAGGATTGGGGTCAATTACATTTCAATTCAGGATTTCAGGAATTGACTGAATTGAAATAGAATTGACCCCAACCCTGATGGACACATTTACTAAGAGAGATCTTTTACTTTTTTCACCTTGATGTTTGCGCCAAGACCCCGGTAATCAGTTATGACTTTGGGTTGCATGAGTAAAAAGGTTATTTGAAGTTGTAGACCTTAGTATACAATTACTGTTAATTTGTGCATTGAGTTCACTAATCTATGTAAAACATGAATAGGTTTCTTATGAATGTGATAACCTACAACTTTTTCCCACTATCAAAGATCTCATGAATAAAGTTAGTAATTCTTTATTTGGGAATTGCATTTAGGCCTAGCAGACATATTTGGAAGATGAGACTGCTATGAGATGGAATGTGTTATGAAATGTGTTTGGTGTAACGCGTTACCTAATCAGATTACTTTTATGAGTAACGGAGTAAAGTAACGCATTACTTTTTCAAATTGGTTAATATTAATTAGTTACTTTGTCAAACAACGTGTGCGTTACTTTCAGAATCCTACAATGCATTCGGAAAGTATGACCCCTATACACACAATACCCCATAATGACAAAGCGAAAACAGGTTTTGCAAATTAATTTTAAAAAGCATACCTTATTTACATAAGTATTCAGATCCTTTGTTACAAGACTCGAAATTGAGCTCAGGTACATCCTGTTTCCATTGATCATCCTTGGGATGTTTCTACAACTTGATTGGAGTCCACCTGTGGTAAAGTAAATTGATTGGACATGATTTGGAAAGGCACACACCTGTCTATATAAGGTCCCACAGTTGACAGTACATGTCAGAGGAAAACCAAGCCATGAGGTCGAAGGAATTGTCCGTAGAGCTCCGAGACAGGATTGTGTCGAGGCACCGATCTGGGGAAGGGTACCAACACATTTCTGCAGCATTGAAGGTCCCCAAGAACACAGTGGCCTCCATCATTCTTAAATCGAAGAAGTTTGGAAACACCAAGACTCTTCCTAGACCTGGCCGCCCGGACAAACTGAGCAATCGGAGAAGGGCCTTGGTCAGGGAGGTGGCCAAGAACCCGATGGTCACTCTACCATAAAGGCCTGATTGGTGGAGTGCTGCAGAGACTGTTGTCCTTCTGGAAGGTTGTCCCATCTCCACAGAGGAACTCTGGAGCTCTGTCAGAGTGACCATCTGCTTCTTGGTCACCTGACCAAGGCCCTTCTCTGATTGCTCAGTTTGGCCGGGCGCCCAGCTCTAGGAAGAGTCTTGGTGGTTCCAAACAAAGAATGATGGAGGCCACTGTGTTCTTGGGGACTTTCAATGCTGCAGAAATCTTTTGGTACAATTCACCAGATTTACATTTTACATTTACATTTTAGTCATTTAGCAGACGCTCTTATCCAGAGCGACTTACAGTTAGTGAATACATTTTTTTTTTTTTTTATTATAATTTATTTTATACTGGCCCCCCGTGGGAATCGAACCCACAACCCTGGCGTTGCAAACGCCATGCTCTATCAACTGAGCTACATCCCTGCCGGCCATTCCCTCCCCTACCCTGGACGACGCTGGGCCAATTGTGCGCCGCCCATGAGTCTCCCGGTCGCGGCCGGCTGCGACAGAGCCTGGATTCGAACCAGGATCTCTAGTGGCACAGTTAGCACTGCGATGCAGTGCCTTAGACCACTGCGCCACTCAGGGCCATCTTTTCCTCGAAACAATCCTGTCTCTGAGCTCTACGGACAATTCCTAAAATCTCATGGCTTGGTTTTTGCTCTGACATGCACTGGCAACTGTGGAATCTTATATAGACAGGTGTGTATCTTTCCAAATCATGTCCAATCAATTGAATTTACCACAGGTGGACTCCAATCAAGTTGTAGAAACATCTCAAGGATGATAAATGTAAACAGGACGCACCTGAGCTCAATTTCAAGTCTCAGAGCAAAGGGTCTGAATACTTAAGTAAATAAGTTTTTTTGTTTTTAATACATTTGCAAACATTTCTAAAAACCTGTTTTAGCGTCGTCATTATGGGGTATTGTGTGTAAATTTAATCAATTTAGAATAAGGCTGTAACGTAACAAAATGTGGAAAAAGTCAAGGGCTCTGAATACTTTCCGAATGCACTGTATATGGCTAATTAAACAGCCCATATGATGGCGCGGCACTTGTAGACTAGGACAGATGAAAGGAGTAACTAGTAGTGAGCAAACCTGAGTTGGGCTACTATCAATCACTGCTCGCCTTACTCCCTCCAACAGTCAAACAAAGGTGAGATTTAGAAATTTGAAAGTAACGCTAAGCAGTTATATAACGTGTTACTTTCCACGCAAAGTAATATTGTAAAGTAGCGCGTTACTTTTGTGAAATGTAACAAGTAACTAATCCCAACACTGGTTATGAAAGGGCCTTTATGCGTTGTGTGAGTGTTCCCTCTGACCGTGTGAATGCTGCTCTCTGTGTCTCCTCCCCAGCCTCTCCGTGCCAGATCTCACCCCCAACATAGGCCTCTTCTGGTACTTCTTCGCCGAGATGTTTGAGCACTTCCGCCTCTTCTTCATCTGCGTCTTTCAGATCAACGTGTTCTTCTACACCATTCCACTTTCCATCAAGCTAAAGTGAGTCCCCTTCATCAGCTCTTCAACTCAGTGTGGAGAGACTAAGGTCGTCATTTTTGTGGTGCAAAAGAGCACAGATCTGTGGGGCAAAATACAGTAAACCTTCAAATATGTCCGCACTGTTCCTATAGATGCATGTTAGCACATATGCTAATGAAAAAAATTCTTCATAAATATTATTCTCATGAACCAGAGGTCAGATTTACTGACTCATGATTGACTCATCAAAGACATTACCCTGATGAACCATGTTAAGTTTGGCATTGATATCTTAACAAATTAGGAAACTATTAACAATTCTCTTTTGGACCATGTAACGCTAATGCTTAAAATAATCATACATCTTCTCATGGACTAAAAGTCAGATTCACTCCAAATTTGGTTTTTGCACTCATCACAATAGTCCCTGAAGAGTTTGAGAAAATAACATTGATGCATTGAAAGATGGCAACACTATACCAATATTAGCACATACGCATATCAGCATGTTCTCATGAACCATGGAATGTAGGCCCATGGTACATGTCTTAACTTAGTTTGAGAAAAGCTAAGGGATTGGTCAATAGATAGCTGAGTTATTGACAAATAAAAAAATCTGGTTTGTGTCCATTTAAACCACTGTAAGTCCGCATTTTGCGACCCTTTGACTTAGCCGATTGGCACCTGTGTTTTTCTGTTGCTCATTAGAAAAACTAGATGTTTTTAATGAATCAAAAAAAAACTTTAATTAATTTAGATGTTTTTGCCGAGGATGTTTTAGTTGTGCAATTTTACATCTAACTAATGTGTTTGGGGCAGTATTTTTCAAGTAACAAAATGCACGCTGTGTTGTCTTATGTAAACAGTCAGAGCTGCTGAGCAGGTCTGTCACACTGTCTATGCTATTGGATAGAGAGCGATCAATGCAGCTGTTCACCCCATGTCATTTACCCGTTGTGACGCATGGATGTTCCGAACTCAAGATTGACTTTATGACCAAAATTATCCTATTTACCCTAGAATAGGTGTTTGACTTATATCAATGCCACATAGGCCATTTTCAAAGGTATTTGTTGCTTTTTAAAGGCAGTCGCTCTTTAACAATTAATTATTTGCCTATGTAATGCTAATGCTCAAAATTATCTGCAATCATCTTCTCCTCATGAACCATACCTCAGAATCGCTCCAGATTTTGTATTTAGACTTATTACATCAGTCTTGAATGGTTTTGAGAAAAAAACGGAATGCATTCAAATATGGCCACACTGTACCTATAGATGCACATACAGTACATTCAGAAAATATTCAGACCCCTTCCGACTTTTTCCACATTTTGTTACATTACAGCCTTATTCTAAAATGGATTCTCATCAATCTACACACAATACCCCATAATGACAAAGCAAAAACAAAATGTATTTTAAAAAAATTATACAAAAATGGATATCATATTTACATAAGTATTCAGACCCTTTACTCAGTACTTTGTTGAAGCACCTTTGGCAGCGATTACAGCCTCAAGTCTTCTTGGGTATGACGCTACAAGCTTGGCACACCTGTATTTGGGGACTTTCTCCCATTCTTCTCTGCAAATCCTCTCAAGCTCTCTCAGGTTGGATTTGTATTAATTTGCAAAAATGTCTGAAAGCCAGTTTTTTTCTGTCATTATGGGGTATTGTGAGAATCAATTTTAGAATAAGGCTGTAACAAAATGTGGAAAAAGTGAAGGAGTCTGAATACTTTCTGGATGCACTGTAGGGCTAATGCTAAAAATACTTAATCTTCTCATGAACGGTCAGTCAGATTGACTCCAGAGTTGGTACATAGACTCAATTAATTAGCCTCTAATTAATTTGAGAATGATTAGTTGCTGCATTTAGAGTCGGCCACGCTACACCACTATAATAACTGGACCGATGGACATGGGGCCTTGAAATTTGGTATGGAAACCTTATGCATTTGTCCTTAGAAGCTCTGTGAATATAAAGTCACTGCAACCTTAGATGGCTGCACCAAACCAGTTGGTTGCACTATAGATGTCATTGGCACCAGTGCCATAGGATTTTAGAGCAATAACTAATGATCAAGTGGACTTTGTCTCATGCAAATAAATGTTAGATTCAAATTATGCAGACGAACAATGTGAAATATCGTGAAAATAACACTGGAAACATTTCACACATCACAAACCATTAGTGAAATTGACCCCATAATTGGTATATGCAGTTGAAGTCGGAAGTTTACATACACCTTAGCCAAATACATTTAAGCTCAGTTTTTCACAATTCCTGACATTTAATCCTAGTAGAAATTCCCTGTCTTTGGTCAGTTAGGATCACCACTTTATTTTAAGAATGTGAAATGTCAGAATAATAGTAGAGAGAGTGATTTATTTCAGCTTTTATTTCTTTCATCACATTCCCAGTGGGTCAGAAGTTTACATACACTCAATTAGTATTTGGTAGCATTGCCTTTAAATTGTTTAACTTCGGTCAAATGTTTCGGGTAGCCTTCCACAAGCTTCCCACAATAAGTTGGGTGAATTTTGGCCCATTCCTCCTGACAGAGCTGGTGTAACTGAGTCAGGTTTGTAGGCCTCATTGCTCGCACACGCTTTTTCAGTTCTGCCCACACATTTTTTATAGGATTGAGGTCAGGGCTTTGTGATTGCCACTCCAATACCTTGACTTTGTTGTCCTTAAGCCATTTTGCCACAACTTTGGAAGTATGCTTGGGGTCATTGTCCATTTGGAAGACCCATTTGCGACCAAGCTTTAACATCCTGACTGATGTCTTGAGATGTTGCTTCAATATATCCACATAATTTTCCTTCCTCATGATGCCATCTATTTTGTGAAGTGCACCAGTCCCTCTTGCAGCAAAGCACCCCCACAGCATGATGCTGCTACCCCCGTGCTTCACGGTTGGGATGGTGTTCTTCGGCTTGCAAGCCGCCCCTTTTTCCTCCAAACATAACGATGGTCATTATGGCCAAACAGTTATATTTTTGTTTCATCAGACCAGAGAACATTTCTCCAAAAAGTATGATCTTTGTCCCCATGTGCAGTTGCAAACCGTAGTCTGGCTTTTTTATGGCAGTTTTGGCTTGCTGAGCGGCCTTTCAGGTTATGTCGATTATAGGACTTGTTTTACTGTGGATATAGATTATTTTGTACCTGTTTCCTCCAGCATCTTCACAAGGTCCTTTGCTGTTGTTCTGGGATTGATTTGCACCAAAGTACGTTCATCTCTAGGAGACAGAACGCGTCTCCTTCCTGAGCGGTATGACGGCTGCGTGGTCCCATGGTGTGTTTACTTGCGTACTATTGTTTGTACAGATGAACGTGGTACCTTCAGGCGTTTGGAAATTGCTCCCAAGGATGAACCAGACTTGTGGAGGTCTACAATGTTATTTCTGAGGTCTTGGCTGATTCCTGTTGATTTTCCCATGATGTCAAGCAAAGAGGCACTGAGTTAGGTAGGCCTTGAAATACATCCACAGGTACACCTCCAATTGACTCAAATGAAGCTTCTAAAGCCATGACATCATTTTCTGGAATGTTCTAAGCTGTTTAAAGTCAACTTAGTGTAAACTTCTGACCCACTGGAATTGTGATACAGTGAATTATAAGTGAAATAATCTGTCTGTAAACAATTGTTGGAAAAATGTCTTGTCATGCACAAAGTAGATGTCCTAACCGACTTGCCAAAACTATAGTTTGTTAACCAGAAATTAGTGGAGTGGTTGAAAAACGAGTTTTAATGACTCCAACTTAAGTGTATGTACTTCCGTCTTCAACTGTAAGCTCAATACATTAAGTAATTACTTTAAGAATGATTACCTGCTGCATTCAAAGATAACCAACCTACTTCACTTGCGTCGTCCTTGTGGTGTTGAGAGATAAACATGGTAATGCTTTCATTTTGCACATAAAGGAAGATCGCAAGCACTATCATGTAGAAACTTTGTTATCCAACTCATCTTGTGTCCTTTCAGTCATTTTGTGAACCCTGTTCATTGATGTTTCTGGCATGTTTCCATTAGCCGGTAATTAAATTAAAATAAATTAAAAGTCGATAAATAAAATTGTAGCCGGCCAAATTGGCCAGGGCTGCCTATCATTCACCCTGATTTTGCGCTTCTCTCACTCCTTACATGTATCGGCCTGCTGCTGAGGAGAGCGAGAGAGGAGCCTTGACCTAGGCTACTGTTGATTGCTAAGATGGAGGCCTTTTTCAATGAAGTAAAACGAAAGTTGGGGAGTATGCCTATAGTGAAAAGCCTACAAGGCAGGGCTCCAGACTACGACCATTTAGTCAATTTTTGCGACTCTTTGGCAAGTAAAAAATAAAATTGGTCGCATTGGTGTGAGTTGCACATTCATTCACCTCACTCAAAACGTCCTATTTTGTAGGAGGCTGACCATGATTTGGTCAAACCGTAAAGTACATTTTAATTTATTTATCAACTCTCAATTTTGAGCTCAATAGCAACTATTTTACAAACAAGATATTTGATATGGCTTTGAGATACGGAGTGCGCGAAATGTGCATTGGCCATTGCGAGTGTTTAGGCCTCATTGGGCAGTAGGCTACAATGTTTGTTGGGAAATTAAACGTACTGTTAGATTAATACATGGCTACTAGCAGTGGGTATAATATTTTAGAGTTAGTGATTTAGCTAATGTATGGACAAGTTTTAATATTGTAGTGGACAAAGATGAGAAGAGCGTTGGCGTGGCCAAATGCATGCTACTGTGCAACTCGCTTTTCAGGTAGGATGCAATTTTGGAACTTTTATTTATTTCGTATGTATAATAATTTGTTTTATTATTATTTTATATCATTGTTATTAATGTAGGCCTATTCATTAATCTAAACCAGTTCTTTAAATATGAAAAACTTTTGTTTCATTCTGTTGACTTTGTTGGCTAAATTAAGTTGGATCTGTTTGTTTTTTATTTGTGCTCCATATTTAGTTTAATGTGGGTTATAAGTAGACCTTTGTAAAATAAATATAATACCCAACAAATGACAGATAAGGTAGGCACTAGCATTTCTTGGTAATTGCTGCAATATATCCTGTTCAAAACTTTTGTGAAGGTTTAAACCAGTTTGCAAGTGTTTTGTTTCATTCTGTTGAGCCATTTTATTTGGCCAAATTAAGTTCCAACTGCAATGTTGTTTGCCGCAATATAATATCCTGCTCGTATTTTCCCTATAAACAATAGCTTGATTTATTTTTGATATGACCCTAATAAAGATTAGAAAATGTTGTGAAGGTGTGGTGTGGCTGTTAGCCTGTTACTGCAGGCCTATGATATGAAGGCAGTGCGCACCGGCGCTCCATCTGACTCCGACAGGAAGAATGTTTTAGGCCTACCAGAGTTACTCCAATAATCTAACAATATAATTTAAAAAATATATAGTTGGATAGAACATTTAAGAATTAGCTTCCTTCTGTACGCCTATATCTGTAGAGCAGATACAGTAGCCTATCTGACAAGGATAAAGAAGTGCATGTCAGTGTCGTAGCATGCCGCTGACATATCTATCTCTCTCTCTGGGGCTAGGCCAAAGCTTCCTTTTATATTTATTGTTTTAATATTCATATCATACAGTTGGACGCCTAAGCCTATAGGCCTATGCACCCAATTCATATGGATGACCTGTACTCCCGAGTGGCACAGCGGTCTAAGGCACTGCATCTCAGTGCTTGAGGCGTCACTACAGACCCCCTGGTTCGATTCCAGGCTGTATCACAAACGGCCGTGATTGGGAGTCCCATAGGGCGGCGCACAATTGGCCCAGTGTCGTCCGGGTTTGGCCGGTGTAGGCCGTCATTGTAAATAAGAATTTGTTCTTAACTGACTTGCCTAGTTAAATAAAGATAAAATATATATATATATATATATATTTTTTATGCATGCAATGCCCTGATGCATTTAGTGCTCATATCTGCGAAAGCTGAACCGTGAGGTGGACAATTATTGTTTAAGGAAAGAAAAAACGAATAAAACAATAGGCTATAATGTGTTGCATATGCTACACATCGAAACACAAGGAATAGTGTTTTTGTAATTTCTTATAGGTGGTTTTTAAGGACACGTTAATGTGGCTCATCTGGCTAAAATCCCTCGTTTATTGAAGGCGCTGGCTGCGTGGGTGGACGCCCAGTGGGTTACGCACCCAATTCATATGGATGACCTGTACATTTCTCAAATGTCCGATTCATTTAAAATCTTCCCAGTCACTGTGCGGTGCCACATTTTCGGAAACCCTGGTTCCTGGGTATTATGTATTATTAAGCAGACGATTTCATTCAAAGCGACTTCCCGTATTGCGTGCATAATTTTTTAAATATCTGTGGCCCCTGTGGGAATTGAACCCACCACTCTGGTGTTACAACTGTCATGCTCCACTGAGCCACACAGGACCACGTGTATATATAATGTATCCCATCTAAAAGTGACATCTATAAGTCCTGTAAATTCAGTCCTAAAATGGCTGCTGTATAGTAACACTGCTGTCCTCTCTGTCCCAGGGAGCACCCATTCTTTCTGATCTTCATGCAGATCGCCATCATCTCCATCTTCAAGTCCTACCCCACCGTGGGCGACATCGCCCTCTACATGGCCTTCCTACCGGCCTGGAACCACCTCTACAGATGTGAGTGGTTCTTTCCCATGAGCCATGGATTGTGTTCGATAGGGTATACCGTAGCAAACTGTTTTGCAACAGAAGACGAGCACAAGCATTTCTTATTGGACAAGTTTAGATAGTAACTCCCCGTTTCAAAGCTCTTTCTTCTATTTCGCGCCTACTGAACTCTGTCCTAAAGCTAGCTTTTTCTGTTGAAGAGGCAGGAATACAGTTCGCTGTCGATTTCAGTTTGCCTTCATCCCTCAAAAGTCGTACAAAGTTGAGCTATGTTAATATTCCACGTCATCTGTTGTGTAGATCCCTGTGTACTGTGTGTGTGAGGATAGCGTTTCCCAAACCTTTGCTCTATTCATTAGCTATCTATTCCACTACTAGCAAACCTCTTTCAACTAATCAAGGGCTTGTAAATAAATCCAATAGGTGGAACAGCTGGGGTGGTGGGTACTCATTGAGAGGTTTTGGAAACATGTTTTATGAGCTGCACAACAGATGGCATTGGACATGGATTAAGCTCGACTAAGACCATTTTTTTAGGAGAACCAACCCTCAGAGGGTGTGCTCCTTAACATCATCCCTAATACTGTAGTGCAGTAATCCTCAATCCTGCTGCAGGAGAGCCGCAGTACTGCAGGTTTTGTCCCAGCCAAAGGGATGCACTTTTTTTTGTCTTAGCACTAACACACCTAATTCCACTAATCAAAGGCTTAATGATGAGTTGAATCAATTGTGTTAGTGCTAAGGCAAAAGCAAAAATGTGAACCCCATTGGGTCACCAGGACTAGGATTGGGAAACAACGGTCCTTTGTAGCTCAGTTGGTAGAGCATGGCACTTGTAGCACCAGGGTAGTGGGTTTGATTCTCGGGACCACCCATATGTAAAATGTATACAGGCATGAATGTAAGTCGCTTTGGATAAAAGCGTCTGCTAAATGGCTTATATTACTGGTCTAGGGGTTGTTTTCAGACCAGGTCAAGGGCTCCTAGTATAATGATCTGTCTTTACAAAGGGAAGCAGGAACAGGGGATGACTCAGCTTTGTCAAAGTCAACAATAGAAACCGATTTCTGATGCACCACAGGCACCTGACACAAAGCTCAATAACAAGAAAAGCCAGGATGGTATTTCAGAAAGCATAATCTAATGAGTCATCCAACTTAATGATAATCTCTTTAGTTATAGCCAACAGAAGTTGGGACTATAGCCAGCTAGTGTAGAGAGTGGTCAGTAAGTCTAATGTTGTAACGGTTGAAATTTACCTTTTTATGAATTGGAGTTCATACAGTCATTAATTAATCATTTATTTATTTGATAGGGAGAGGTACAATAAAGACATTAATATATTGAATAATCAAGAGTCCAATGCATTGCACCGTCATGATTGGGCTTGCACTAATTGCAGAATATTTACTAGAGAGAGTTAGCTGGCTAAGTGTAAAGTGTTGAGGTTGTAGGACTGGAATGGTGTTTCCCATCTACACTGAGCTCCGGACAGAGAGCAGAGGCAGAAGCAAAGATGCAGTTGGAGTCTTTATATAGATGAAGATGGTTGTAAAATGGAATGGATTGTTCAAATGTTTAGATTCACAGAATGATAAACAGTTGATGTTGCCAGTCTGTATGAGTTATGGTTTGTAATGGCTGCCTGAATTAGCCATTAGCATGTGGTGGCCATTAGCGGCTGGAATCCCACACAAACTAAACAGAGGTGAGGATGTCCTCTTCTATGCAATAAAGGATGTTGGAACTCGCATTCAATTACGCATACTGGTAGTTGTGAGCGTTGTTGGCGTGCTCAACTCCTCCTCCTGTTTTGGTGAAGGACCCAGATTGAAAGGAGGCGCCCTCAATGGCTGTCTGTATAAATACCTGGCCATAGAGATATATAGATGTCACACCTGCCATGAGTGCCCTCTGTCCTCACGTGACCATAGAGTTGGGTAGAGGGCACACCTGCCACGAATGCCCTCTCCCCAACTACACATCACCAAATTCTGTAAACTAAGATTAGGGGAAACTTCTACAAGAAAAAGCTTTGGTTTTAGGCTCATTAACGTTAACAAAGGAATGTTATGACTGTACATTATATAGTTTTGTATTGACTATTTATTTGAAGTCTTTATTTTCCTTGTGTTCCAGTCCTGAGGAATATCTTCCTGGTGTCGGTTGTGTTGTTGGCGTGCTCCGCCCTGTTCCCCGTCCTTTGGCACCTCTGGATCTACGCGGGTAGTGCCAACTCCAACTTTTACTATGCCATCACGCTGCTCTTCAACGTGGCACAGGTGAGTGGGCTGCACAGCTGGGTCGGCTAGCATTTGGACAGGCGTCTTCAGTGTCATTTCAGCTAAACCTAGGGTATGGCAATGTCATTTGCATTGGGATTAGAATGATTGTAGTACCATATTTTAAATTGTTATCTTGAGCTACGGTATGTCTGTCATAGCCTGCTATACCCAAAGGACAACCCTGGGGCATCTTACCAAGAACAATGATACAGTGAGCCTGGCTACAAAGTTTGTATGTGGAAGAGGTTTATGACGTCACCTTTAATGAATAGTGGAGGCAGTATAACAGTTAGACTTATTTGTCACATGCTTTGTAAACAACAGGTGCAGACTAACAGTCAAATGCTTACTTACTTTTCCAACAATACAGAGATAAATAATATATAGAGAAATAGTGACACGAGGAATAAATACACAGTGAATAACGAATAACGAGTAAAAATAACATAGCTATATACAGGGAGTACCAGTACCAAGTCGATGTGCAGGGGTACGAGGTAATTGAGATAGCTAAGTACATATAGGTAGGGATAAAGTGACTAGGCAACAGGATAAATAATAGACAGTAGCAGCAGCGTATGTGGTGAGTGTGAATGTGTGTGTGGCGTCAGTATGCATGTTATGTGTGTGTTGGGTTGTAAGTATGTGTGGGTAGAGTCCAGTGTGTGCACAGGGAGTACAGGAGGGGACTAAGCACACACCCCTGAGGGGCCCGGTGGAGATGTTGTTGCCTACCCTCACCGCCTGGGGGCGGCCCATCAGGGAGTCCAGGATCCAGTTGCAGAGGGAGGTTTTAGTAGTCAATGAAAAGCATTCTTACATAGGCATTCCTTTTGTCCATTTTACATTTGAGAACCGTGGATCCCGTTTCCTTTTAGAGTCAGTTTGCTCTCACAAATCCCTCATCTGGAGTTGAAATCAGACTTAATGCAGACTTAATTACTCAGGTAACCAGACCGGAACATGGGAATGTTTATCCTTCAGCTGCGTCCTTCACTAATTCATGGTGACCGACACCTGCTCTGGAACAGATGACGTAGACACCAAGGTTTTGGGTTACCTGTCAGAGTGTGAGTAAGATATCACTGTCCAACACTGTTCAATGGAGAGTCTGGGAAACTGGGTCTAATACGCTTTAAGATGAGATCATTTTGTTCCATTGAGACTTTTCTTCCTGGTCTTCCCGGGATATCAGCGAAGACTGAGAATAAATGAGGTTAATAGTGTCTGGTGGGGTCATTAATAATTTGACGGTGTTGGTTTCAACAAAACATTTCCCTTATTAGGTGCATATAATAGCACAATTATAGTTGATAGGCCCTTTAGACTGTTAGGGCAGGTTTCCCAGATGCAGAGCAAGCCTATTCCTAGTCTTTAAAAAAAAGTTTTTCCCAGGAGTAGGCTTAATGAATGTTTTAGGCAGCACTACTGAGGTTCTAGTGTAGTCTCTGTTTGTTATATTCTTACCAGACTGCTCAATTATACGCTTGTGAGCATACTATTTGCAAAAACTGTTGCGTTAACAAATGTGGAGTTTGTAGTTCAACCGTCCTGAAGGATTTTTAGGTAACCGGTGTGAGATTGTGATAGACGTGCCAGTCAGTTTTATAGATTCACCATGTGAGATAAACCAGGTCAATATTGCTAGCTAACTGCTTTGGCTGACAATAGGTTTCCAATCTCTCTGATAGTATGCAGGTTGACTTTGTTGAAACCTGCCTGAGATGACGACATTTCAAAAGGAAAGAGAATGGTTTGGAGACGCTCCCAGAATTGTTATGTAGCAAAGTTTTTGACCTTTGTATGGATCGTCAGCATCCAATTGCAAAATAGTATGTTTGGGTATTCTCCTTTTGTTTTAAAAAGGTATTTCTGTCAATATTGCTTTTGTTTCTTCTTCTCAGATCTTGATGGTGTCAGACTACTTCTACGCGTACCTGCGGCGAGAGCATCACCTGACCCACGGCCTGTACCTGAAGAGGAAAGACGGCAGCGAGGCCACTCTGGTTCTCAAGTAGTAGATGACACACTCATACGCACTCGCGCACACACACAGGCAGGGATGGGACCCTTGCCTGACTGAAAGTGACTCTGAACATTACCCCACCCTTCGAGTTCTTATTTCTGAGGTCTTACTTTTAAACAAACATCCCACCCAACCAACCAACCCCCTGCTCCCCCATAGACCAAAGCCTTAGTGTTTCTGAAGGTCCGGCTGGGATGGAAGATGTGCTGCCTTTTGTCCATGTTCTGTCGCTCCAATGAGTAGGCGAGATATCTGGTTTTAGTGGGTAGGTGATTGGGTTGCTGGTCCGGTTATTTTGCTTTTTTTGGTCCTACCTTTCTCCTGGATTTACTTTCTTATGCTTTTAGGAGTCACTGTCACTCATTGAAAACAAGCAAATGAATTGAGCAGATGTGAGCCGTTGGGTACTTGGGTGCATACGTAAACCAGACAGGTCTGCAGTTAGGCTCTTTTACCAGCAGAGGGCGTCAGTTGAATAGGAAAACTACAGTGGTTTGTCAGTCTGTCAGCCAATGTGTTCATTAGAGCACGCAACGAAAACGTTTTAAAACATTTTGCAAAAACCATTTGCGTTTTGTATTGTCCAAGTAGTCCACCTCTGTTTCAGTACGTTGTCTTCCGTTTGCTGCCTAATGAACAAAACCCTTTATGTTGTGCTTTAGTAATACACTAAACACTGTGTCCAACAATAACTGTCTGTACAACTTGTTGGTACTCTTCTCTCAATGGGTATCTGATGACTACTGCATTGTCACTATTTGCAAGAGCATAGGAAAAAGATATCGGGTGTAAGACACCCGTTTACTGGAGTGTGTCTTCTCTGAGAAATGTCATCTGAATGGTACTCTGTGACAATGAGATATGATCTGGAATCCTCCAAACTCTCGTGATGCACTCTGCGTCATCTTGAATGTTCATGTATGCCATTTTTTATACAAATGAGGGATTTATGTGTAGGCATATAGTATTTATTTATTGCCAGCACTGATTTTGTTCTATCGTTTTTGCTTCAATAATTTGGTAAATGGGCAAGTACTTAAGTTGTTTTGATATGTTTATGTATTTTTTACATGATAAGACCAGGGTGATTTTGAAACGGATAATGTTCTATTTGCTGAATGAGTGGCTATGAATGATGATGGCTACATTATAGGTTGTAGTGTTTTGGGGGGTACAGATACAGTGCCTTCAGAAAGTATTCACATCCCTTGACTTTTTCCAAATGTTGTTACAGCCTGAATTTAAGATTAATGAAATGTAGATTTTTTTTGTTTTTGTTACTGGCCTACACATAATAACCCCATAATGTCAAAGTGGAATTATGTTTTCTGAGATTTTTACAAATTAATTAAAAATGAAAAGCAGAAATGCCTTGAATTAATAAGTATTCAACCCCTTTGTTGTGGCAAGCCTAAATAAGTTCAGGAGTAAAAATGTGCTTTACAAGTCACATAATAAGTTGCATGGACTCACTCTGTTTGCAATAATAGGGTTTAACTTGATTTTTGAATGACTACCTCATCTCTGCACCCCACACATACAATTATCTGTAAGGTCCCTCAGTTGAGCAGTGAATTTTAAACACAGATTCCACCACAAAGACCAGGGAGGTTTTCCAATGCCTCACAAAGACTGGCACCTATTGGTAGATGGGTAAATACATTTTAAAAAGCAGACATTGAATATCCTTTGTTGCATGATGAAGTTATTAATTACACTTTGGATGATGTATAAATACACTGTCACTACAAAGATACAGGCATCCTTCCTAACTCAGTTGCCGGAGAGGAAGGAAACCGCTCAAGGTTTTCACCATGAGGCCAATGGTGACTTTAAAACAGAGTTTAATGGCTGTGATAGGAGAACTGAGGATGGATCAACAACATTGTAGTTACTCCACAATACTAACCTAAATGACAGAGTGAACAGAAGGAAATCTGTACAGAATAAAAAAATATACCAAAACATGCATTTTGTTTGCAACAAGGCACTAAAGTAAAACTGCAAAAAATGTGGCCAAGCAATTCACTTTATGTTCTGAATACAAAGTGTTATGTTTGGGGCAAATCCAGCACATTACTGAGTACCATTCTTCATATTTTCAAGCATAGTGGTGGCTGCATCATGTTATGCGTATGCTTGTAATCATTAAGGACTGTGGAGTTTTTCAGGATAAAATAAACGGATTGGAGCTAAGCACAGGCGAAATCCTGGTTCAGTCTGCTTTCCACTAGACACTGGGAGATGAATTCACCTTTCAGTAGGACAATAACCTAAAACACAAGGCCAAATCTCTACTCTGGAGTTGCTTACCAAGAAGACGTGAATGTTCCTGAGTGGCCAAGCTACAGTTTTGATTTCAATCTACTTGAAAATATATGGCAAGTCCTGAAAATGGTTGTCTAGCAATGAAAACAACCACTTTGACAGAGCTTGGAAGAATTTTTAAAAGATTAATGGGCAAATGTTGCACAATCCAGGTGTGGATTGCTCTTAGAGACTTACCCAGAAAGACTCACAGCTTAATCGCTGCCAGAGGTGTTTCTACAAAGTATTGACTCAGGGGTGTTAATACTTTTGTAAATGAGAGATTTCTGTATTTCATTTTCAATAAATTTGCTAAAATTTCTAAAAACATGTTTTCACTTTGTCATTATGGGGTATTTGTGTGTAGATGGGTGAGATTATTATTTTTAATCAATTTTGAATTCGGGCTGTAACGCAACAAAATGTGGAATAAGTCAAGGGATATGAATACTTTTGAAGGCACTATATGTGCAGCACAATGGAAGCCTATTCCGGTCCTGGAATAGCCTATTTGATCACCCATTTTAAATCCAAAGCAGCAGGTGGTGTGGACACTTATTTTAGCCTTGTCACTTCAGCTGATCAATGAAGAGCAGACCTTGTGGCCAATCATTAGCCCCTGCAGGTCCTCACTTCTGGAATTGTCTTTTGTTTAAAAGCTGTTTGTACATCTTTGTCTGCCCCCTAATGGTTGACACAGGTGGTTATTTTCGGTAACTCTTTGGTGGACAAGTTTTATGACATTAGCATGAAAACATAAAAGCCTCTGACCCACTTTCTTTACCTAGACTTTGGTTCACAGATTAAAGCCATACACTTTATTTTATGTTTCCCAAACCATTTTATACGGTTGGTAGTAACTCTGACAAAAGTCTTTAAAATCTGACACTGATGTTATAGTGGGTTTGTAACTTGTGTTGAAAGACACTTTCCATTTGAAAAGGCTTTTCACCAGTCTCACACAGACAAAGGGGGGGGACTGCAAGTTTCCTTCTTCAATTAACAATTAAGAAATTGTTCATTTGAATACTTCATCGCCATTTTGATACAGTACATTATACAGTAGGTGTTAGGTTAATGTGAGCTTTAATCATTCTCTGGAGAGAAAGAAATCATTGATGTACTTAAATGTGAAGGGCTTCTTTCCTTTAGGCTATGGCCAGATAAACCTTATTTTTCACAAAGTAAAAAAATAAAAAAGAATAAAAAACGGGTGGTTCGAGCACTGAATGCTGATTGGCTGACAGCCGTGGTATACCACGGGGATGACAAAACCACTTATTTTTTCTGCTCTAATTACGTTGGTAAACAGTTCATAATATCAATAAGGCACCTCAGAGGTTTGTGATATATGACCAATATACCACGGCTAAGGGCTGGTTCCAGGCACTCCACGTTGCGTCGTGCATAAGAACAGCCCTTAGCCGCGGTATATTGGCCATATACCACACCCCCTCTGGCCTTATTGCTTAAATAAATCACATGTTTACATACTGTATACAATGTATGATGATAACATTAAAGAATGGATCCAGTACTTAAGGTAGCCTACATTAAAAGTCCTATAATCTTTGTATTAGAAGAATGAGGTACCAACTTTACACAGAAAAGCCTGGTAAATCTGGTCCAAACAAGTCCTATGAAGTATGATTGTGAACCCAGAATTCAATTTAAGAGGGAATATGTAACAACACCACAACTATAAGAATGGTATAGAATGAGTTAAGTAATTCATTGTTATTCGTCTGGATTTCTGTTCAACTTGAGGGAGTTCTTGACACTGGCACGTAGCCCAAGAGCTTTTTGGGGTCAGGACCCCCCAGATAGCATATGAACACGTCATAAGCCATGAAAATGTTTAGAATTACTGGAAATTAGCTTTAAAACTGCGACATTTTCTCTCAGCCTCATGGCAAAATGTGTAGAATAGCAGTATTAGCTCAGGGATTCTTGAAAGTTTGAGACAATCCTTGTCCGGCAGGGAAACTTTAGAATAGATTAATAAATTAGATTTTGTTGGCATTATTTAAGCTTAAAATGTACATTTAGGAGAATGTTACAAGGGGAAATATTTTGTTTTGGAATACTTTCAGTATTATTCATTTCCATTTCGGCTCTATGCCTGGAAATGCTCTTGTCCGGAGCAAAGGATCCCAATTTCAAACTCTCCCAAAAAGTGTTTAAAATGTTAAAAAAACTGGTAATAATGGATATTAACAGAAACATTATCTTATGTAGTTTCTTGTAATAGCCCTCTGTGACTTTAAATCATTTTTCATTCAAAACTGATTCCTAAAAGATGTCCGGAGATTTGTCTAAAATCCTATATTAGTCAGGAATGAGCAGGGTCAGATATACCATAAAGGCCCCTTATTCATGTCCTCATTACATGTAGTGCAACAAGACCACTCGTGGTCTGTAAAGTTCTACTTTTGATAGATTTAAACAAACAATATTGGAATTACCATGGTCATAAACTATCAACTCCATCTGCCTGATATATTAAGATATGTTACATTTAATTAAGCTTTAGAGTCGCAAAGTAAATGAAGAAAAACAAAATAGCTACTGTGTATACGTTGTAAAAAATAAGACTTTGAAACTCTGGAAAAAACAAACTCCATCAGATTTCTGTCTAACATCAACTCTGTCAGAGTGCTGAAAGATCTTATAGAATGGTTGTTTTTATTGGGGATTTTCACATTAATAATTTTCTATATTTTACAAAGTTTTGTATTTAACTTTTATATTTAGAGGTAAAAATGTGTATTGAGTATCTGTCAACTCTGTCAGTGCCTTGTCAACTCTGTTGGGTGGGTGGCTTGCTCGGACCTTGCGGGCAGCCCCGCGAAACTGCGCTTCGCCACTGTTTCTTAAGTCATGACACTGATTTTTTAAAATGATTTATAAATGACATTGCAATGAAAATTATTATTTTTTGCTTACTTTTTTTTATTTTATTAATCTCTGCTATAACAATCAACCAACCATAACAATATGACTGACATATGTTAAGTTCTCTTCACAATGATGAGGATCATTACATAGGCATGGAGTGGTTCTATTATATCTAGCTAGGTCGGACTGGACAACAGCGTCTGCTAAATGACAGATGTAATATAGTATTGTACTAGAATTGCACAATATTCACTTAAAAGTAATTTGCCTTTATATTTTTAACCATGGTATTATTTAGCATTACAGCATTACTCAAAATAATTTTCTTAAGTTTGTAATAACATTACCAGTGTATGAGGCAGCTACAATGGTACCTCACTTTTACATTTTAATTCAATAAAGAAGACTGCATCTGTCAAAGAGCCTTTAACTCTTCAGGATGATGTAATTGATTTAGCATAGTGGGTCGGGATGCAGGCACTAGGCAGATATTTGTTCAGTAGAGAAAGAGGTCATTCGTGGTCTCGTCTGGCTGACTGGCTGGGGTCAATAAGTTCAGTCAGCGTGGTTAGAAGCTGCGGGGTGAAGTTGCCCCTATACAGATCTAGGAACAGCTTCCCCTCCCCCAATCCTAACCTTAACCAATAGTGTGGAAAATGCAACACTGAACCAAGATCAGAGTCTAAGGGGCAACTCCTGTTAGGAAATGTTAGGAAAATTAGCATTATTCGACTATGCTTCAGGGTCAGTAGGTTGTAGATTTCCATGACAGTTGTTATAAATTATTATTAAAGGGCGACTGCACTTCCTGACTTGGCCTCGTTTTAGATTTCGTGAATTAAGAAATGCTAGCGGCCATGACTGAATTCCAACGTGTGTTGGTTGCGGGGTGTGGTTTGATGTGGGTGTCTCGTGTGTGTGTGTTCACAGGTGGGAAGAGTTAGACAAATTCGTTTGTCAAATAGCTTCAGCCTGCTCGTGTGTGACCAATG